CATGCTGTAACGTCATCAACTCTTCCAACATCCGCTGGGGCAGAACGTTCTGGTCGGCGCCAGTATCGGGACAGTAGGGCACTTCGAATACTCCGTTGAGTCGAATCCATCGCTGTTCACAGCCATCTTCGGCTATCTTGGCTTTGACCGCTCGCTTCGCCTTCAATTCCGCCTTGCGTTGCTTATACTTGAAGCGTTTCACCGCATTCTTGCTCTTCCGAAGGTGATCAGCTCGCGCTGAGTCTTCCTTCTTGTTTGGGCATTCACGCGCACGGTGTCCCGGTTGTTGACACACAAAGCATAGCGCGCCACGGTCGTCTTGGCCGGGGCCATACTTAGCTCGCTTGGTAGGTTGTTCACTATCGTCGAACGTGCGCCGGGCTGCCGCCGGGGTACCATACTTGTTCGTCGACTGCCCTCCCGTCGCTCCCCGAGCACGAGGAGGTTCGTCACGTCCACGTTCCACCGGGGCCGGATTTATATAACCGCCTTTAGGGCGTGGGGCGTTGCCATTCTGATAGTACGCTTCACGTTGGTATTGTTCGTTCTTGAGTTGGACTCTGGTCTTGCCCGTTCGCTGTCCCTTCTCATCCCAGTCGCGCCCTCGCTTTCGGTCGCCACCCCGTGATTTCATTACTAACTCCGCCTGGTACGTTCTTTCCAGTTGTTCCGCCAGGATCTTGGAGAATTCCACGAGGGTACTGGCTTGGACTGTCTTCATCTGTTCTTCAACTCGATCGCGTACATCGAATGGGGTGATGCATGATGCCACCACCTTGATGAAAGTCGTGAGCATGTTCGGGGTCTTGAGCTGTGATTTCCATCCCGTTGTCTCGATGATGTTGTTCACTCGCTCCATAAAGGACACCACGCGGCTTGCCACGTCGCCAAAGGGGTCCACACGCAATTTCTTGCATTGTTCCTTCATTTCGGCCTTTGTGACGGTCCACTTGTTCGCCGGTTCCCCAATGATCTTGCATATGCGCTCGCGGAACTCGCTTTCATCCAGGTCATCGATGTTGATGTCCCACAGGTACAGGCAAGCAGCTTCAACCATGCTGCGGTCAGCGGATTCCAGCCAGGGGACAGCTGTAGCGCGGCAATCATGTCGCATTCTCTGGGCGTTAGCCTTGAGCTTCTCCTCATACCGGTCGCGTTTGCGTTTCCAGGCCACCAGAGAGTCGCGGTCAACAGTCGTGATGGGGGGGGGGTACTCGATGTCCTTGAGTACCAGTGAAGGTCCACCCTGATGTGGACCACTCACTGGAGTCCATCCTGAGTTCCCAGGTTGTGTTGTCCATTGCTGCGTCATTGGCTGCCACACAGGTGACTCAACAGCAGCTGTCAATCGACGCGCATGTTCCGCGTTGGCCTGGGCCACGAAGTCGACTTTCTTGTTCTTTGGTTTTGCTTCCCGATTCCGTCGACGTCGCTCCGCATTGGCCTTCCGACGTTCGTCTTCGCTTTCATCGTCGCAGGAGCTGTCTGGTGTGCCATCGGGTCGGTACGGTTACGCCGCCTTGGCGCACTTTCGCTCCGATTTCGCCGCTTGTTGACGCTCTTGTTGTCGAACCAGATCGGTCTTCTCGTCATCGTAGTTGTCCAACTCGATGTAGTCGCCTTCTAACGATTTGGACATCGAGTGTGGCGCAGATCTTTCGCTTGACTTGGGTGAGAGTTGTTCTTCCTTGGTTTCGTCTCGACCGGCCGCATGGTCGAGGTCCCACTGGTTGGGACCATCGACAGCTCCGCTGTCGGTACCTCTTCTTTTGTTTCTGCCCCTTCCTGCTCGGTCACCGTGTTCGGTCTCAAACGTTCGGAGCGTCTGCCTTTGGGCGCCATTCACTTGTCTTTCGGGGACAAGCTCCGGCTTCGCGTCATTGCTCTTAGTTTCGCAGTTGTAGGTAACTGGAACTAAAGTTAACTTTGTGTTGTTTCCCGCACTGCGCCAACACAAACAACCAAATGGGGGAGCGCCGCCTCCCGTGAACCACGCACTTGATTGTTATGTCCGTTGCAGAGCAAAACTAGGAGTGAGCTTCTGTAGAAGTAGCAGGTGGTCCCAGGTGGCCACTGATTGGCTAACTATGGTGACCATTCCCAACCGACACTCCCACTAACTCATAATACTACTACTAGTACTACTAGAGTGTATCTAACACGTCGATTCACAAGATTGGCGCCAAGGGACCCCATCGAGAGTCCCTGTGTGTCATGGCGGGGCATGGCTGACAACCGCCAACCACAACACAGGCGATCGAGCAGACGACTCATTGCCAACGCAGTTGAGTCGTGCCGGCGCCCTTCGACAGGACCGTACGTACTTACAATGATGCTATCCGGCACAACCACACCTTGCCAATTCAAACAATGGCGACATGGGTGGCCATTGTACACTACCGTAGACAT